TGCACCACCGGTTACGATCAAACGCCGTCTTTTCGAGTTTTCGATCAACACAATTCTCACGTTTTCTAATAGGGTTTTATAAGAGTTATGTTGTAGGAAAAGTGATTGTGTAATGTTATAGAGATTCGTTTTGCGTGCTTTAATTTTTTATTTATTTTTTTGTTTTAAAAAGTGTGGGTCCCGCAAAATGTTGTGAGTGTAGGAAAGTTTGTTGTATTATGTTAAAGGATAAAACGAAAATCCTTTCTAATAAATTAATAATAATTATAATAATAATAAATAATAAAAATAAAAAACAAAAAAAATTCTCGCATTTCTTTCCGTTGACAGACTCTTTTTATAATAGAGAAATCATATAGATATATATATAGAGGGAATAACATCTATCCTTTTAAAGGATATAAACTTATATCCTTTTAGATCCTAACCGTTGATTTCCGTCCATCAACGGTTATAATTTATTGGATTAAAATTATTAATTAATTAATAATAAATTTGGCCAATTAAGTTTGGCCAATAGATTATAACCGTTGATGGACGGAAATCAACGGTTAAGATCTAAAAGGATATAAACTTATATCCTTTAAAAGGATAGATGTTTTTTTCCATATATATATATGAGAAATTATACTCTTATGTCACATAATACTCCTCTCTCATTTTACACTCACATAAAAAGACGTGCCTCTCTTTTCTTTCTTTTATCTTTTTTTAAAAATTGGTGGACCCCACTTAATTTATCTCACAACATGAGATAACTTCTCTCATACAACATGAGAAAAGAAAAACCCTATATATATATAAGAAAAGTTATACTTACTACCTTTTATTCTTACTACCTCTTACTAAAATCTTAACCATTGATTTTCGCCAATCTAACGATTATAATTTATTAGAAATTAATAATTAATTAATAAATATATAACCCAATAAATTACAATCGTTAGATTGACGGAAATCAACGGTTAAGATTTAGTAGTAAGAGGTAGTAACTATAACCTCCCCCTATATATATATATGAGAAGATAACTTCTGACTTGAGTGTAAGATTTATAAGTCTTACTTCACATCTCAGTCATTAATTTCCATTCATCTAACAGTTATTATTTATTTAAAATTAATAATTAATTAATTGGTATAATTGAATAATCTATAACCATTAGCTGAATGGAAATCAATGACTGAAATAGGAATACGATTTCTAAGTCTTACACCGGAATCAAAAGATTATTCTCATATATATATATATATATATATATATATATATATATATATATATATATATATATATATACTACCTACCTTTGCCTATCACTCTCTAACACCGTTAGATCAGAATCTTAAGAAAAGAGAGAAAGATAAATGTTAGTTAAGATTATGATCTAATGGAGTTTAAAGTGGTAGGCAAACAAAATGATAGGTAGAATAACATATATATATATATATATATATATATATATATATATATATATATATATATATATATATATATATATATGGAAAAAGTATTTGTCATTTTAAATGATATAAATTTGTCATTTTAAGAGAGAGATGGACACAAAATAATATTTTTTATTTAAAATTTAAATTAAAAAAAACACCTACTTTCTTCCCCATGATTTTCATTCCTTGTGTCTATCTCTCTCTTAAAATGACACAACTTACATCCTTTAAAAGGACAAACATCAAACCCATAAATATGGGTAATAGTTTTCTCATGTAGTAGGAGCTAATAATTATCTCCTACAGACTTATTTGTATAAGTGGTGTCCACTTTTAAGGGAAGAGAGAGAAAAAGTAAAGTGGGACCCATTTTAAATTTATGTGTGTAGGAGATAAGTTTATTCTTATGTAACATAAAAATAATAAATCCTTATGAATATATATATATATATATATATATATATATATATATATATATATATATATATGAAAAAAATGTTTGTCATTTTAAACAATATAAAGTTATGTCATTTTAAGAGAGAGATAGACACAAAATAATATTTTTTATTTAAAATTTAAAATAAACAAAAAACACATACTTTCTTTCCCATGATTTTCATTCCTTGTGTCTATCTCTCTCCTAAAATGACATAACTTATATCCAGGGGTGCTAAACGAATCAGGGGCCTTTGGCTCGGCTCGTGAAGGCCTGAGCTTACATGTCTAAAATTGGTTGTTGACACTAGGCTTGAACTTGTATAAAAACTCGTTTAATAAAAAGGCCTTAGACTCTAATTCAAAAGCTCGGCCTTAGAGCCTCTCAGGCTGACCTAGTATATATATATATATATATAGGAAAAAGTATTTCTCTAGTCACCGGAGATAAAGTTATCTCCAGTGAGCTCAAAACGACGTCGTTTTGAGTTTATACGATTAAAAAATTATAATGATAAAGACTAATATAACCCTGCAATATTTTATACTTATAAAAATACCTTACTTTCGCCCCAAAACGACGTCGTTTTGGACTTGCCGGAGATAACTTATCTCCATTGAATGAAGAAATACTTTATCCATTTTCTTATACTACTTGCAATAGCCTTCTCTTTCTCCTCAATCCATTTCATCCCATTTTATTGGTTAAACAAAGGTTTTAAATGATTTTATTCTATATTATGTTGTTTGGATATACATTAAATTTATGAATATTTATGGAATTACCAGTATTGTTGATTGTATATTTTGTTTCGATAAATTTTTATTGTTTTGTTTTTTTTAAACAGGCTAACAGGTTAAATCAAGCTTTTATTTTTTGTAAATAAGTCAGGCCACAGACCAATAATATATTTATAACATGTAACAAGTTTAGTCAAGATGACACATTTAAACACAGGCTTAGCCTTTTAAGACCAAAGCTCGGCTCGACCCGTTAACACCCCTACTTATATCCTTTAAAAGGACAAACATCAAACCTATATATATATATATATATATATATATATATATATATATATATATATATATCTGTGTGTGTGTAGTTATCATTTCTCAAGTTGTTGGACATCCAACTAAAAATCATAACCATGTATGGGAGGATAAAAGTATTAAATAGGAGAATAAATGAAAATTAACGATCAATATTACTAGCTGGACGTCCAGTAATTTAAGAAAAAATTTCACTTATATTATATACATATTATATATATATATATATATAGCAGAAATCAAAATATTTTTTTAATTATAATTTATTTTAGGACTATAATAGTATTTTTCATTATAATTTTTTAACCTTTCAACCCAAAATGACATTATTTTGAGAATTAATATAAATAACTTATCTACATTCAATGTAGAAATATTAAAATATATATATATATATATATATATATATATATATATATATATATATATATATATATATATTGATCATTGATTTGTTTGCACCTAACGAAGGTTTAGATTGCTGGAAATTTTTATTATAACAGAGTTTTTTTTCTTCTAAGTTTACGATACTTATATACATGAGCAAGGATCCTTTGACACCGGTGTCAAATAAAAAGTTTGACACCTTATCTTCAAGGCTGATCAACGGTGTCATATGCTTACAAATCAGAGTCGTTGGATCAAGGCTGATCAACGGTGTCACATGCTTACCAATCAGAGTCGTTAGATCAAGACAAGATCAATGACTCTCTTATGAGATATTAAACTTTTTGCATGACATTAGTGTCAAAGGATCTTGTGATATATATATGGGTAGGATATATATATATATATATATATATATATATATATATAAACCCTAAACCTTAAACCAGTGTAAGAGTTAGAAGTCTTACACTCAATCTTGATCATTGATCCACTTGTATCTAATGGCTTACATTAGTAAAAAATTAGAGCCCTTAGATATAAGTGAAATCAACAGACAAGATTGAAAGTGTAACTTACACTGGTGTAAAATGATCCTGACCTATATATATATATATGGACTGAAATTATGGGTCTATACTCTATCGAGCCATAAAGGATAATTAACTAAGAGAAAAACAAAGAAAGAATCGTAAGATATCAATCTTGTTGCGTCTTTGACAGATCAAATACTAGGACTCAATATTCTTAAGAGTTCTAGAATTTCACATTTATCATATAAACAATTATAAGTAAGAGATTAAGCCTACTACGTACATACTTTGAACTTCATACTCTTTTAATTGTCTCTGTGCACACACCTCATGCCTTTGGCTATATGCCATTATTATTATTGTACACAATGATCTGCTATCCTTTGCAGCGTCTCTTCCATAAATGCAGTAAGAGCACAAATCCTACATACAATTACCAACCACTAGTTGGACATCCTAATCCCCTGGGATCGAATATATATATATATATATATATATATATATATATATATATATATATATATATATATATAGATAAGATCTTTTGATATCAAATTCTAACCGTTAATTTTCGTCCATCAACAGTATTATTTATTGAGAATCAAGCTTATTAATTAATTATTAATTTTAAATAAACGATAATCGTTGATTGACGAAAATCAACAATTAAGATTTAATGTCAAATTTTAAAGATAATTAAGACTAAGTAAAAAAAAAATAGTTGAGATTCACTTGTTTTTTTCTCCTTTTTTTCTCTTTCATGGGTCACACCTTCTCTTTTACATATTACATGAGATGAGAGAAACATATTTTCCAATAATTAATCTCATTCAAGTGAATGAAAATATCCATGAATAAAAAAATGGAAATGTTTTTATCATGTTACATGAAAAACTTTATCTCATATTATACATACATCGAAATTCGAGTCAACATTTCTTTTTCTTTTTTCTTTTCTTTAATTGTGGAACCCACTTAATTATGTCTTTACATAAAATAATATTATCTCATGTAACATTAGAAAAGCATTGCCCATAAAAAAAAAAAAATGATGCAGGAAAAATCAGTCAAATCTATGGTCCAATTTTGTCCCCCACTCCTATAAAGTAATGGTAATAATTCTAATGTACGAATTCATCTTTTTATGTTTTGACAGAAACAACAGAATCCACGTCTCCAATCTTCACTTACAATCATTTCATATCTGTTAGAGTAGCTCAGATTCTTTGCTCTGTGAATTCGAGCGTTTCTGTTTCCCTTCATCTGTCAGCACAAAGCATAAACAGAGAGAGAGACAAGACAAACTAAAATATGTAGAACAAAGAACACTTGTGCGTTTTTGGAACATAGGCAAAGACACATGGCTGGAATGCTTCCGGGAGTTGAATGTGCTCGAAGGAGACGGTTCCATATGAGTGGAGGGTACTTGGATTCACAATCCATGGTTACCCATAATTCAACAAGACACTCTTCTTTCTGTTTGTATGCAAGTAACCATGAATCTCGTCTTTCCTCATCCTCTTCATTGGTCTGTATACCTTATCCATCTATCTATCTCTCTATTCATCTTTCACCACTGAATTCCCTTTCTGTTTCTATGCTTGTTTGTAAGTGTTAACGGGGATGCATTAATTTTCTTTTTGGATTTTAATGTGAACAGCAAAGAAACATGTTATACCAAGCAAACCCAGATGAGAATATGGTAGGAGCAGCCAGAGAAGCCAGACAGAGATTGGATGACAAGTTCAGAGGACAAAGGAAATCAGAAAACAAAAGGTATAACAAAAACAAGTAAAAAAGTTTTTATTTTTTATATTCTATTGATGGTTGATTGAGAGGGTGAACTTGGAGCAGTTGTTTATTGTTGATTGAGAGGACAAAGGAACTGAGTTTGAGATTTGAAAACAACCTCTTTACAAAATTCTGATAAGATTGTGTACAATTATACAGGGTTTGCAATTGGCCCTTTGTATTCATGTCTGATTGATACCCATAATTCAGATCTGATTATCTGAATGAGTCTAGAAGAAGAATCCCAGATCAGGAATTAATCTTTTCACTATTTTGTTTTTGGAACTTATAATCAATTAACAGGCAAAACAGCATAAAGTGTGTGGAGGGCAGAAAACCAAGGTTAGTTGAATTGCTTACGGAGGTATATGAGTCAAAGAAAAGTGGTTCAAGTTGGTTCAGTTGGACCAAATTGAGCTGGAAGGCCTCAGAACAAGAGGATTGTGCGGTGTGCTTGGAATCATTCAGGGTTGGAGAGACACTATTGCATCTCCCTTGTGCCCATAGGTTCCATTCCAGATGCTTGAAACCATGGTTAGAAAATAATTCTCATTGTCCATGCTGCAGAACCGCCATTCATTCCCCTTAGATTTTACTCTTTTTTTTTTTTAGTACATATTAGATTTTACTTTTCATTATGTGTAGTTGTAGACTTGGTTGGATTAAGTTAAGAATTTTGACCGTGACTTATTTTGTGAGAACATAAGTTTGAAATCAACTTGGATCTTGCACATTTGAAGGTCATTCACTAATTATTATTTTGCCATGCTTGGATCAAGTTATACATGAATGATGAATCTCCAACTTCCTTTCGGCAGAATTAATGTTGTTTAATAATACTTTTGTTTATAATTAATTACAGAAAAATATTACTGCAGTCACTGCATATAAGTTATCTGTATTTATTTTCAAAACGACGTCGTTTTGGGATTAAAATATTAAAAAATTATAATTATAAAGACTATAATAATTCTGAAAATAAATTAAAATTACAAAAATACCATGATTTTCGTCCCAAAATGACGTCGTATTGTGCTTACTGCAGATAACTTATCATCCAATTAATTATCTAAAAGAAATTAGTGACTTTTCCTCTTCTCCAGAAAACCCTTTCATCTCATTCTGTTATTTTTAGGTATACTTTATTAAATGCAATGAATGCTGTTAAGAGATTTTAGATGGCATGTTGGTTTAAAATTTCAAAATATGTTGCTATAGTAATTTCATTTCATTATTTTTTAGTTGAGAAATACTTTTCTTATGTTGTAAGAAAATAGTTACTTCATATTGTAGAAATAAAATTACAAGTGGAACCTACACATAAGAGGAAAGAGAAAAAAAAGTGGTGGGACCCAATCCTTTTTTGTGTGTGTAGAAAAATTATTTATCTCATATAAAATGAGATAAACATAACCCTTTTTAGTTATACTTTAATAAATGCAACGGATTTTGTTATGATTTTTTTTTTAAAAAAAATTGTAATTACCCTAGAAATTAAAATATACATGGTGAGATTACCAAAAAAAAATAAATATACATGGTGGCTATAAAAAAAATATACATGGTATTTAAACATTTTGATAAAAATTGAATGAAAAAATATAATTTGAATGAAAAAATTTATGCAATGGGCAGTAACATGAAGTAAATACATGTCCATTATTGTTAGATGACGTGACGTTTAAAATCTGAAAACATGCTACTATAAAAAACCAAGTAAGCGAATTTAATTTCATTTGTCGTTTCAGAGAAACAAGAAGGCCAGTAATGTTTGAAATTCTGTAACCATCTTATATGCGAGAGAATCTCCTATTTTAAAAAAAAATTATTTAAGACACACTTAATTGGAATTTTGTAACACATCCACTGCTGCAATTGAATTTCTATGTGATAAGTGAAATAAAAACGTTTAGGTATTTATAATTTTCGACATGCTTTTTAAGAGAGAAAAAAAAAACATAACTCGTATGTTATTTATCTTTAAAAACTTAAAAAAATAAAATCTACTAATTCTATGGACAGGGTACCCTAATTCAGTAATCAGCTCATTAGTTTCAATCATATATAGTGCATACCATATGTATATATTGTACTTTTTTCGTTAAATAGATTATTTTGGATGTAAGTTGTAAAGCGAGTTTTCCCGGAGAATGACAATTAACACAGATGATTTTAGCTAAAATTTGTTGGTTCACATATCTCTACTTTAAGCCTTTTTGTGAATTCTTATTTTTGGAAGAGAGAGTTAAAAAAGTTGGGAATAGATCATTTTATGTGAAAAAGTGGTCATGTGGTCATGTTATTTCATCACAGTCATTCATTTAAAAATTATATATTTTTCTCTCTTTTATCTCATCATCAATAAATAGTTGTGATCAAATAACATGATTATTTTTTCACATGAGAGGATTCATTCTAAAAAAAATTACAGTTTAGGGACTATCGTGACAGGCGCACTGTCGGATTTACCTATCCCAATTTCATTTAATTATCTATTTTACCTATTATAGCCTCTCTACCTGTATAACACAAACACTTTTGTTAATGGGGATAGTTATATTGTATATTTATTGCCATCCGTGCATTCCAAATGATTATAACTTCAAATATCACTTCTTCATAGGAGGATCATTTTCTTAGAATCTAACCTTCTATTTCTCTCTCTCATTGCTGATATATTTTGTACAGTAGTAATACAAATATGCATAAAAAATATCATTACTTATATATTTTACATTTTTAAAACTTTTAAATATAGAAAATATTTATTTTTATCAACTTCTTTTTCTATTCCTTCATCTTTATGATCAAAATAGGTTTTGTGTCTGTGAAACTGAGAAACCTAATATAAATTTTTAACTCAACATTTTTTATATTTATCTTCTATTCATGGAAAAGTGCTACTCAAGAGGTAAGTAGTAAAATTAATAATTTAATGTATACAGTTAATATATTTGTTATAAAGAAGTCAATTTTGCTACAAATATTCAGATATAAATATATATAGAGACATAACTTTTCTAGTGCATTAATTACGGTATACTTGTATGCTAGAAAATAACAACATCAACATTAACTATACCTAACTATACCTTAATCTCAAATTAATTGAGCGGTGATAGATAAATCAAAATAAAAAATGAAAAAATATTATTCTTAAGCAACATAAGAAAATATCTCTTTCCTACCCATCCATTAATTTCCGAGTAGTTTTATTTTTATTTTTTTATTTTTTATAAGTGAGTGGGCCTCACCCATAATTATTTCTATAGTATGAGAGAACTACTCTCCTGCAGCATAAAATTAATAAAGCTCATAAAAAAATATGCAAGGATGGAAAAGAAAATAAAGTATAAAAAATATGCAAGAATGGAAAAGAGACAAAAGTGAAAAGGATATATATATATATATATATAGGAGTAAATATTTCTACAGCCAATTTAGATAAGGTTATCTACAACTATCCCAAAAACTATGTCGTTTTGATTAATGAAGGGTGTTTCTGTAATTTTAGGAGAATTAATGAAGGATGTTTCCGTAATTTTGTTTATTTTTTATCATATGCATTTTACTAAAACACCCTTAATCAATTCACCTAAAATTACAGAAACACCCTTCATTAATCAAAATGACGTAATTTTTGGGATAACCGTAGATAACCTTATCTAAAGTGACTGTAGAAATGTTATTTTTTCCTATATATGTATATATGAGGTAGGATCTTTTGACACCGGTGTCAAAATTAAAATTTGACACCGGTGTCAAAGGATTCTACCTATATATATATATATATATATATATATATATAATTAAAACGATTTAATCAATGACTTATTAGTTGAACCAATAACACAGTACCTTGACTGATTAAGTGATTGGACCAGATTTTTAAGATTGTTATTAATTAATCTTCATTGATAATAATAGTAATAATAACAATAAGAGATAGATTATTTTACTTATTTTTTTTATGCTTATCTTATCTATCATTTTTCAACACCATTATATCATAATCTCAAGGGAAGAGAGAAATGATAAAAGTTAGTTGAGATTCTGAACTAATAATATTAAATAGTGGTAGGTGAGGTGGACATAAAAAAATATAGATAGAATAACATATCTCTAATAATAATATACAAAAGTTACATGTGTTTATTTTCTATTGCCATTGTAAAATTTTAAGTTCTTCTCTCTCGAGAAGAGTATAAAACAAATATATAAATAAGAAAAAATACTTCTCCTATTGGTGGAGAAGTGTGCGGGTGACTAAATTTTTTTTGTTTATGTTGAGATATATAGTCCCACATTAGTTGTATGTGCAACTAATGTGGAGTTTATAAGGTCTTGGGATACACCACCCCAAAAGCTAGCTCAAAGAGTGGGAGTGCCCAAGGCCTTATAAACTCCATATTAGTTGCACATACAATCAATGTGGGACTATATATCTCAACACGCCCCTTCACACAAGAGCCCATTGGGCTTGAAGAGTGGACAATGAAACAGGTCCAGCCTACCTGTGCTAAGAAACGCCACAAGAGAAAGTGGGGGACGGCGAGGCTCTGATACCATGTAAAGAATCTTGGGATACACCACCCCAAAAGCTAGCTTAAAGGGTGGGAGTGTCCAAGGCCTTATAAACTCCACATTAGTTGCACATACAACCAATGTGGGACTATATATCTCAACACGCCCCCTCACACAAGAGCCCATTGGGCTTGAAGAGTGGACAATGCAACAGGCCCAGCCTACCTGTGCTAAGAAACGCCACAAGAGAAAGTGGGGAACGGCGAGGCTCTGATACCATGTAAAGAACCTTGGGATAAAATGTTGAGATATATAGCCCCACATGGGTTGTATGTGCAACTAATGTGGAGTTTATAAGGCCTTGGGCACTCCCACCCTTTGAGCTAGCTTTTGGAGTGGTGTATCCCAAGGTTCTTTACAGTTTAAGTTAAAATATATGATTTGTTTTTTCTGATGTTACTTTAGATAACTTTATCTAATGTTCATCAAAACGACGTCGTTTTGGGAAAGAAATCTTGGTATTTTTATAATTTTAATTTATTTCAGGGTTATAATAGTCTTTATCACTCTAATTTTTTAATTTTTCAATTCCAAAATGACGTCGTTTCGATGAACATTAGATAAAGTTATCTAAAGTAACATCGGAAATTTTTTTCCCAATATATATATATATATATATATATATATATATATATATATATAATGGGTCTCACCATAATTTTTTCTCTGTACGAGAAAGAAAATCTCTCTTGTTATATGAGAGACTTAAATTAAAGCTCATATAAATATGGGTTTCATAACAATTATTGAATTAATTTTTAAAACTAAAACTAAAAGTCGATCTATTAATAAAAAACAATTTTTTTAAATTTTTTAAATTTTTTCTGTTTTTTATTTTTCATTTTTTAAATTATTTATTTTTGAACCGCTAACTGTGGGATTTATGGGACTGAAGTTATTGCAAGGGGAAGGGCGGAGGTGACTGTTTAAGAATCACTTACTTTACGACAGGGAAAACCTTGTCAACCAAGAAACGGGCAAAAGCTGAATTGAAAGGATGGGTGGTGACTGTTTAAGAATCTCTTACTTTGCGATAAGGAAAACCTTGTCAATTAAAAAACGACAACTAGTCTTCCGTCCTGCATTTTATAAAGACGGGACAATTTTCTATCTTTCTCTAAGCTGATGGGCGTACTCCCTGCCAATTATTTGCAAGGTTAGGTTTGTGATTAGCATTAGTTGTCTTTCTTTCTTCATTTCTTT